TCCCTGGGTCTCAGTGGCTATCCAGACTTAAGCACACCCACTTGAGCACGAAGAAAGAAAGGTCAGAAAGCGCAAACACACATAAATGGAAACATCCAGGGGCGCCAGGGTGGCTCAGTCCGTTAAGTGTCTGACTTCAGCTCAGGTCATGATCTCACAGTTCATGGGCTTGAGTCCTGTGTGGGGCTCTGTGCTGACAGCGAACTCAGAGCCTGGAGCCTGCTTCAGATGGATTCTGTCTCCTTCTCTCTCTGCCCCTCCCTGGCTTGTGCTCTGTCCCTCTTTCTCTCAAAAACAAAGAAACATTAAAGAAATTTCCAAAGAACTGCAGTGACCAGGCGTTTCTCTGCTGAAGGAGTCAAAACCTGTCTAGGAAAAAAAGCATGAAGATCAGGGAGGAAGGACTAAGAAGCAGAGCCTGGAGCCTGCTTTGGATTCTGTGTCTTCCCCCCTCTCTCTCTCTCTTTCTGCCCCTCCCCCACTCTCGCTCTGTCTCTCAAAAATGAATAAGCATTTGAAAAATATTTTTAAAAAAGAAGAGGACGGGCAGGGAAGACAGAGGCACCAGACCAGATGAGTGTTCGCGGGTCCTCGAGGTCTTAGAGTGGCTGGAAAAAGCCACAACGCACCTGTCTAGGTGTGACTTCCTTACCTGAGGCCCCAGATCCACTGGCTATACTTAGCTGTGACTCTACTGTTAAACCATCCTCTCCTCCTGACAGCCCAGGACCCTCAGTTACCCCCACTCTCCTACGCCCACCTCCAGATGGCATCCACACTGCAGTATCCCCAACATCCTTTTCCTCCTCCTCCTTCCTTCAGCTGGAGCCAAACCTCACAAAAGACTTTGCTCTTCCCCTTTCTATCAAGCCTCACTCTAGCATCCCGTTCGCATCATCCCTCAAGACCCCAGCACAGAAATCCAGTTGTTTCAGCTAATCTGAACTTGCCAAACTACAGGTTGGCTCCTAGTGACCTGCCTGCGTGGGCATTAGCGCCCCGAGTCCCACAAACAGCTGCCAAAAGCTAATGTTTGAGGTCTCAGTTTCATTTGTTTGTTTGTTTTTACTTTTACTCATTTTTGAAAGACAGAGCATGAGCGGGGGAGGGGCAGAGAGAGACGGAGACAGAATCTGAAGCAGCTCCAGGCTCTGAGCATCTGCACAGAGCCCGACGTGGGGCTTGAACTCCTGAACGGTGAGATCATGACTGGAGCCAGTCTGACGCTTAGCCGACTGAGCCCTCAGACGCCCCCTGCCGGTTCTTTTTTTTTTTTTCAAATAGTTTATTGTCAAATTGGTTTCCATATAACACCCAGTGCTCATCCCCACACTGGCGGTTCTATTTCTAACAAGCTCCCGGGGAATGCTGATGCGGCTGGTGTAGACAGACCATGGATGAGACAGCACACATACCTGTAGTATTTGTTACAGGTCCACAAGCATATTTTGTGCAATGATGACCTGCACCCCAAGGGAAAACATAATTGTTGTCTTGCTTTTTCTTTTTTTTCAGTGATTATTTGGGGGGGTGGGCAGAGAGACACAGAGACAGACACAGACTCCCCAGCTCCAGCAGGCTCCGAGCTTAATATCAGGGGCTGTGAGATCATGACCTGAGGCGAACGTAATGGGCTAAGCCCCCAGATGCCCCTAACTGTTGCCGTTCTGGGTGTAGACTGTGGGTTTTAGGAGAGCTGTACGCATCACACTGCACCGTGCACAGTTCACTTCCCACGTTTGGTGATGTTTGGAGTGTCCCTGCTCTATCCCATCACCATCCCAGTTTGCAGAGCGAGCATGAAATTCCCTCACCTCCCTACTTTCAGGCCTCACACCCTCCTCCTCCTCCCTGCCAGCCTAGGTTCTCCAGAGAAACAGACCAATAGCATGTGCCTTGGGGTGGGGGGTGGGGACGATGGAGACAGACAGACTGATTTAGGACATGTGGCAGAGAGAGGTGTTTAGGGTATGTACACAGAGAGATATGTAGGGTATGTATGCATGAAGATATTTACATAATTTTAGGGAGAGAGAGCACATGCACACAAATGGGGAAGAGGGGTAGAGGGAGAGGGGAAAGTGAGAGAATCCCAAGCAGGCTCCACACCCAGCACAGGCCCTAGAGGCAGGGTCCCAGCACCCGGGAATCCTGACCTGGGCTGAAATCAGGAGTGGGCAGCCCAAAGGACAGAGCCACCCAGGGGCCCCAGGGCAGAGAGAGATTTAACATATGTATGTAGAGATACTTAGCATATGTATGTCTGTAGAGAGGTATTTAGGGTAAGTGTGTACACTGACAGATTTACAGATAAAGGGAGACTGGAGGCTGGATGAGGCCCAACCACATTATGGAGAGAGGCTAACCAACTTTACTCAGTTTCCTGATTTCAAGGTTAATCTTAATCTAGAAACACCTTCACAGACAATGTAAACCAGTGTTTGATCAAAATCTGGCCACCTTGGCCCAGCCAAGCAGACACATAAAGTACACCACACACCCTGCTTCTCGCTGTACTGGGCAGTGTCCACCATGGACTCCCACATTGCCACACGCCCACACCCCGTCACCAGAGGCCACCTTCCTAGCTCCTCCCTGTGAGGGCCTGGGCTCCCCTGGGCCCTGGACTCCAGCTCCCTCCCTGCTGCTGGAGACTGTTCCCTCCCAGGCCCTGGGTCCTGCCCAGCCCCTGTCCCACCCAGCCCTTAGGTCCCCTCCAGCCCCTGACTCCTTCCCAGTCCCTCTACCCAGTTCCAGGTCAGTGTTAGTTCTTCATGGGGTGTGATCGGCCAGCAGCAATTACCCTACTCAGGATCCCTCAGTTGCCTGTGGGGGGTTCCAAAGCTCAACACTGCTCAATTTCCCTCCACCTAGGAGCAGCTGCTCCCACTCCTCCCCCTCCTTTTTCCTCCTCCTCCCCCTCCCTTTTCCTCCTCCTCCCCCTTCCCTTTCCCTCTTCCCTTCCTCCTCCCCTCCCCTCCTTCTCCCCTACCTCCTCCCTTCCTTCTCCTTCTCCCCTTCTTCCTCCCCTCCCTCTACCCCCTCCCCCTCCCCACTCTCTTCCCAGTCTGAAAGCTCGCCTGGTCCAGTTCTGCCTGCTCCTCCCAGAGGCAGCACCTCCACCCACCCATACGTGTCCATCCCAGGGTCTCAGTTTCTGGAGAGCTTTTGTGACTCCTGATTTCTACCTCCTGCCTCCACTTTCTCACCCAAAGGTCATCACTACTCTTCTTTTGGGCATTTCAGACCCAACAAGTCCAAAATTCCACCACTGTCTCCCAAGCCCTTTCCGGGAACCTGCTTCACTGTTTCCTAGACAAACCCTTCAGTTGCTCAGTTCAGGGCCGAACCACACCATTCCTCATTCCTCTAACACCCACAGCATGTTAGGGGAACCCCGGCCATGGCTTGCCAGATGGACCACCTACCGCCTGCATTTCCCCCACTGCTTCGACCTTAGCCCCTGCTCTCTCTGTCCTCCAAGGAGTTGTGTGCAGTGACCGCGGTAGGAGAGTCCCATCAGGCCGTGCCCCTCGCGAAAGCCTCTGAAGGTAAAATCCAGTCACTCTGTTCCAGCTCCGTTCCCTCACCATGCATGCACAGATGGAAGCAAGCTCCTGCTTCACAGTCTTTGCGTATGCAGTTCCCTCTGCTGCAATGCTCTTCCTAGCACACCTCTGTCTGCTTGTGCAGGACACCTGCTGAGCCTTCCACCTGCTCTCTGGTCAAATGTCACCTCATGGAGGTCCTTCTAGATGGCCCTGCCAGGCTCCTCCTTACCCAGTTTTTATTTTATTTTACTTTATTATTTTATTTGACTTTAATTTTCATGATATCTATCACCAGTAGTGTTATATCACAGAGGCATTTATTTATTATCAGATTTCCCTTCAAGCTTCCAGACACCAGGATTTTTCGTCCACCACAAGGATGAACTAGTGGCAGATAGAAAGGATTTCATAAAATTATACACAAGCAGTAACAGCAACGTAAACCAAATAAATATACACAGAATGCAAGACGGCCAATGGTCCTTGAGCAGAGTCTATGCACAGGCTTCATGCCACGGTACTTCACACTGTGGTCCCCGACACAGTCCTGTTTGGTGCAGGAAAGAAAAGACATTTCCATGGCTTCCAGGGCTTGTGCCCCTGGACGCTCACTCTCTGACATCCCACTCCTCCAGCTCACTGTGGTGTGACATGGTGACATGTTGATGGTGGCCTCCATGTGGGACCCTGTTCTCAAACCTACTTGAGCGTGATGGACTCTCTCAGATATCAGGTCACAATGCAGCCTTCCCTGACTGTCACCAGCCCATCTCCAGCACCTGCTAGTTGACACTGCTCTGCTTCTGCAACACGGATCCAAACACAGCAAAATGTTTACTGAATGCCTGAATGATCCCAATCATGCACCCGACAAGGTAGACAGCTTCATCTGTTTCCTGGATGAAGAAACCGGGGCAAAGAAAGGTGAAGCATGCCTGAGATCCCCTGGTCAGGAGCTGATGAGGTGGGATTTACCCCAGGGACTGGCTCTAACCCCTGTGCTGAGTGAAATGCAGAGTGAGGGCATATTCTGAGCTGTGAAGGGCAGACAGGGGACTGGGCGGTGTCAGTTCAGGGGAGGGAAGTGGAAGGCAGCCGGGAATGAGCTGATGCTATGCAGTTTATCTGCCGCAGAGCCACTGGCTCTGATCACAGATTCCCAGCACTCCACAGCAGTTTCTCCAGCCAGCCACAGGGCTAGGAGCTCCAGCAGAAGGTGTGGGCGTGGGCTTGCTGACCAAATCACCTCCACCCTAACTACCTGGGCTGAGCCTTGGTCCTTCCCTGGGGCATCTCTCCTCCAGGCCAAGCTGCTGGCTGGTGCTCCTGAGACTGAGTGTGCATGCATCCTGCTAACAGTGAGTCCGGGAAGACCCGAAGCGGGTGGCTTTACATCAGATACCTGGGTGGCCCTGCCTGTGTCTATCGTGTGGGGAGCACTCATTGTTCACAAAGAGCTTCACGTTGGCACATCTCCTGCGAAAGTCAGAATCCAGGCATTTGACAAATGGCCGATCTCAGTAACTGCACTAGTCAGGGGTGACGATTTGCAGCTAATAGGATACGGGAGGCGCCCAGGCCCCTGGAATGAGGACAACACGGCTAAGGGATCCAGGTTCCTCTCAGTCCATCCCCTTTCACCCCATCTGGTCTGCCAGGCCACTTTCTTCCGGGAAGGGGTGAGGGCTGGTTTTATTTCTGCTTGGCCTTCAACAGGATCTGAAGTAAATGGGTTATCTTCCACCAGGCGCCCCTCTGGTAGATGGGAGGTTTTCTTTGCCTTCTCTTCTGTGGGAAAGTCCGACTTCAGTGCGGAGCAGATGATGCAGAGGGGTAGTGGGAATCGGGCCTGCTCAGGGATCCGGAACATGCTTTCTCCCAAAGCTCCAGAACCTGGAAGACTAGGGATGGACCTAGGAAGGCCCCTCTGAGCCACCACACTGTTCAGCATAGGGTAGTGGCAAGCGGCCCTGTCTGGGGTTCCGACGGCCCTCATTCCTGCTCGCCCCTCACTGCTACCTGACTTCAAAGTCCCTTCACGGCCCTCCCCAGCACAGTATGCACATCTAGCCTTACCGGCGCTGAAGCAAGCCAAGAGCTTCCTGACGGGCCACTCGCGGCCAGGATTCCCCACAGCCCCTTTGCGTACCCCCAGCGTTGTCCTGATGCTAAGAAGAGCCATATGCGGGCAGCCTTATCTTAAACTGTGAATCATCCCAGGAAAGCGCGGGCTGCATCGGGATGCGACGGGGAGAGGGGTCTCAGTCTGCAGCCCCAGCGTGCTCAGCGGCCCGCGAGCCGGGCGTGGGTAGGGAGGGTCCCAGGCGCACTCCGGGATGCAGTGGCTCAGGGCGCGCGGGAGCGTCCTCCTTCCTTGCCCCCTCCCACTTCCAGCATTCCGGCGCGGCTCCGGGATCGGGATCCGCCCTTCACGGCGTCCCCGGCCCCTTGCCCGCCCCCGGCGCGCGTCCCCCGCCGGAGCCCATGGGTGGTCCAGGCCGCAGCAGCGAGGTGGGCCCCACAACGCCCCCGGCCGGACGCCCGGGTCCCGGCGGGCGCGCGCGCGCGCGGGGCGGGGCGGGGCGGGGCGCGCGGGCCTGGCCGGACCAGGGGGTGTCGGATGTCACCCCCCGCGCACACCTCGACCACTGAGATGCGGAGACCTCCCCGGTCCTAGAGCGGAGCAGGAAGTGTCCCAGGGGAGGGAGCCGGAGGGCTCCGGCCTTTCCTTTTCAGCGCGTCCGGCGGGCTCCGCGGCGGCCAGGCTTGCGCGGCCCGCCAACGGGGACGCGCCGCGGCGGTGAGTGCGGCCCGGGGCTCGGCGGGGCCCGCGCCCGCTGCCCCGCGCCTTCCCGCGCGCCCTAGGCTCCCCGCCCGCAGCTCTGGCCTCCCCGCGCGCCTCAGCTTCCGCCCGGGCTTCCCCGCGCCCCAGCCGCCCCGCGCTCCGGCCTCCGCGTCCGCCCCAGTCTCCCCGCGCGCGCCCCGCTACCGGCCCCGCGCGCCCTGGCCAACCAGCCTGCAATCCCGGCCTCCCCGCGCGCCCTGGCCTCCCCTCGCGCCCCCCGCTACCAGCCCCCGGCGCCCCGGCCAACCAGCCTGCAGCCCGGCCTCTCAGCGCGCCCCAGGACTCCGCGGGCGGGGCTGTAAGGCGGCACGAATGTTGTTTTGCAGGCGCCTCCATTTGCTTGCACTAGTTCAGTCCCGAGCGCAGCCGCGCTTTCCTGCATGAGCGGGAGACGGGGGCTCGACCAGCCACGGCGGGAGCCCATCGGCCTCAGGAAGGACACCCGGGGGGCCGGGCTGGAAGGATGAGGAGCTACTGCCGGAGACTTCCGCCGCAGCAGGAGGGCTTGGAGTTAGAAGCGGGGAAGGAGGTCCGGGCTTCGAGGTGAGCCGGGAGCGGGTTGAACAGGGGGCGCGCCTGGGGTAGGGGCGGGACGCGGACAGCCTGCCTCTCTGCCTGGCCTAGTCTTGTGCTCCTCCTTCCTTTCTGCTGATGGGGTTCTGTCCTCTGGGAGCGGCTGCTGGCACGCCCCGCCCCCTCCGGGAAGGCCCCTGGGACTAGCGTTTAGTTCATTCATCAGGCATCTCCTCCCGCCAGGTGCCGGGGTGACAAAGGCGGACCAGGCTGTCTGCTTGGGGTGATCCGCACAGCCCCAAGCGGGATGGATGCCCCGCTACGGACTCTGAGTGTAGGAGGTGGGGCCTGAGCCCCGAGCCGGGGGCCAGTTCCGAGCAATCTAAAGGCCCTGCGGGTGTGCACTGGCTAAGCCTGAGGAACGCAGGGTCAGGTGGAGGGGAGTTTCCGTTCCAGATGCTGGAGCAGATGCTGGAGGACATCGGACACACTCGGAGCCCTTTTGTGCCATTCTGTATTGGTTTTTTACTGCAGAGCCTTTAAAGGGGTCCAGAGACTGGAGTCTTGCCACTGAGTGACCTCTGTTGCTCTTTTCTCCTGGCCTCACTTGTCTTCCTGTGAAATGGGAGTGAGCCGGAGCCTTATGCAGACTGGGTTCCAAGGCCCTCAGGGGCCTGGATGACTGTGTTTCCCTATTCACCCTTCCCTTGAGTCCCAAAGTGCAGAGTCGTGGCTGCTGCCCCCTGATGTCACCCTGTGCATGTGTATTCACCGAGGAGGTGCAGGTGTGGCCGTGTCAGAGTGCCCCCGCTCAGTCGTGCCTGCGGAGGGGCCGTGAGTGTGTGTTGTTGCCTTCATCATGGCACAAGAGGACAAGGGGGCGTGGGGTGGAGGCTGGGCAGAGGCCCCTGCATCTTTAAACAGATCCTCAAGTTTGCCATCCAGACTTGGGAGTGAGTTACTTGGAGAGTGATAGGAAAGCACTGATGTTTTTAAATATGCGGTTGTTTTTCTGCAGCACCCTTAGGACGTACCTGCCTCTCTCGACTGTCCCCATCTTCTGCACGGGCATCACCTGGACTGTGGGCCTTATCCCCCTGGATTCTGCTGGGTGCTGTTATTCCCTGCTCTGTGCGAGCCTAGCAGGTCCAGCACCCACAGCTGGCCCTGGGCACCACGGCAGCTGATTTCTGGTCCTGGATCCGCTTCAAAGGCTCTTTCCAGGCTTCTCTGTGTCTTTCCAGCTCTTTTTGTAAAGGTCTCAAGGGCAAGGGCGAGGAAGGCCTCAAGATAGCAGCCTGCTCACCTTGTCCTGTCCAGGAGGGCCTGGCCACGGAAGGTACCACAGAGTCTCTGTTCTGTCTCTGCCCTGAATGTGGCCCTGTCGGGCTCCCCCGATGTCTGAAATGCCCGTGACGTGTTGATATGCTAGCGCTTCTCTCCCAGATCCCCTGCCTTGTTTGTCTGGCTGCCCAGTTAGGGGAATCCTGTCCTGACGCTGTTGTAGTGGGCGGTGACTTCCCTCTCTCCGTTTGTGCAGGGACCAGCCACACTGACCCTTGTGCCAGGACTTGTCCCAAGGGTTGGTCTCTGCGGGCTCTGTCACGTTCCCCATCACCGCCCCAGAAAAACTGCCACAGGAGACCAGAACATTGAAGCCAGTGATTTCTGTTTGGAAATAGGGTCGTCCTCTGCTGCTGACCCCCATCAAATCCCATCATGCCCACAGCCCTGTGCCCCCGAGTCTTGGCTCCAAAAGAAAGTGAGGAGCCCAGGAAAATGAGGAGCCCCCCAGGAGAGAACCCCAGTCCCCAGGGCGAGCTTCCCAGCCCTGAGTCCTCTCGCCGCCTCTTCCGCCGTTTCCGCTACCAGGAGGCGGCGGGCCCCCGGGAGGCCCTGCGCCGCCTCTGGGACCTGTGCCAAGGCTGGCTGAGGCCTGACAGGCACACCAAGGAGCAGATCCTGGAGCGGCTGGTGCTGGAGCAGTTCCTGTCCATCCTGCCCCGTGAGATCCAGGGCTGGGTGCGGGCCCAGGAGCCCGAGAGCGGCGATCAGGCTGTGGCCGCCGTGGAGGCACTGGAGCGGGAGCCCGGGCGGCCCTGGCAGTGGGTGAGCAGGAGGACGCTCATGGGGAGAGGGCCTCAGGGGGCTGGCCACGGAGGAGACGCTATGTGTAGAGCCCCACACTTCAGTGAGGCTCACAGTGCAGTTTGGTCTCCTGAGGAAGCAGATTCCCTTCCTTGGGGGGAGTCCCCGCTGGGGCACGTTCTATCCAGGGCAGGTTCCTTCCTTGGGGAAGTCCCCGCTGGGGGGCACGTTCTGTCCAGGGCAGGTTCTTCCTTGGGAGAGTCCCTGCTGGGGGGTTCCGTCCAGGGTAGGTTCGTTCCTTGGGGGAGGCCCTGCTGGGGGGCACGTTCTGTCCTGGGCAGTTCCCCTTCCTTGGGGGAGTCTCTGCTGGGGGGCACGTTCTGTCCAGGGCAGGTTCCCTTCCTTGGGGGGGCCCTGCTGGGGGCACGTTCTGTCCTGGGCAGGGCCCTGGCGGTCACTGTGCAGATGGCCAGGAGGACGCCTCACCCTGAACAGCCCTCTCTGGGGTTGCAGCTCAAGCACTGTGAAGACCCCGTGGTGATTGAGGATGGGGATGGCCCTCCAGACCGGGAGCCAGAACAACTGCCGGCAGAAGCCCAGAGTGACCTCGCAAAGAGTCAGGACAGCCAGCCCACAGCTGTGGCGCAGGGCCCCGGGCTCCCGAGCAGAACCGTGGGCCAGCCCGGCGGGAATCCAGGTACCCACTGGGGACGCAGCCCTTGGTGGGGAGGACATACCCCTCCCCATGTCCCTGGATTTGGGTTTTCCTTGCTCATCCCCAAAGAGCCATGAACTGTTTCCAGGGTCTGGGTCCCTCCCGAGAGCAGTTCAGTCGGGATCTCCTGCCCCCTTCATTATGCGAAATCCACACAAGGGACCAGTGCTGTGGGTGGGTGTCTGTGAGGCTGCACTGCCCCCCTCCTTGCAGGTGCGTCTCCGGCCTCGGTCTGGCAGCCGCTTGTGAGGGCAGCTGGGCACGGCCACGTCTTATGTTCTAAACCTCTTTATCCAGCGAACAAACAGCTGCTTTGGGATTTGTTATGAAGTTGCAAGACCTAAAAGTGCTCCAGAGGGAACAGGGTGGTGTGTCCAGGCCTGAATGTCACCGGGACGCCTTTGGCTGTCTGTACACAGAATGCTGGTGGTCGCCCGAGGCAGGCGGCTTCGACGACTCTGGCTATGACCTGGGGCCCTCCAAGCCCCGGTCTCCCGGCCCTCCCTATCACCCTTTGAGCACACTGGTCACTCATTTTGGGTCTTTTGAGAATTAAAGGGCTTTACCCACAGAATGTTAGAGCAGAGGCCCCGAGTCCCCCCTCCCCCCGACTTTCGGTCATGGTAGTCACCATGGGAAGTTGTGGCTGAGGTCGCACGTGAGCTCTGTGGTGTGCGGGCTGGTGTGGCAGATGCCCCAGGTTGCACGGTAGGTACAGGGAGCCGGGAGTGCATTCCTGTGACCCACAGAGCTGGTCCTTCATAAGCTTTTCAGTTAAAGAAAGAGAGCATATCGAGTTTCTCTTTGTGTGGAGTTAGTCTGACTTCCGTACAGAGGTCCAGGCACATCGGCCCTGTTAGTTTGCAAGGGATTCCTTGACCATCATCGTACTGGGTGGGCCCAGCAGCAGAGTTTACGGCCTCACCTCCACAGGCTGGACGTTGTAAATCGAGGTGCGGCCAGGCTCACTTTCCCATGAGGCCCCTCTCCTGGGTTCGTTGGTCACCATGGTCTCCTTGCATCTCCACATGGTTGTCCTAATCTCTTCTTACGAGGACCCGGGTCGTCGGATCGGGCCACCCTCGTGACCTCACTCTAACTTACTTATCCCCCGAGAGACACCTTGTTTCTAAGTGCAGTCCTATTGAGGAGCTAGAGTTGGGACTTGATATTGTGAACCTGGTGTGGACACACGTCAGCCCAGAGCCCGTCATGCCCTGGGGCGTCCTCAGGAGGACGAGCTTCAGGAGCTGCAGCAGCCCAGGCAGGGGAGCTGGGCCAGCTGCTGTATCTCCCAGGCAGAGTGGGCATGATGCGACTTAGTTACTAGGAAGACCTTAAAAGTTCATTATTGATTCATCATGGGGATGATCCTCTGGTAAGCTTTTTTTTTTTTTTTTTTTTTTTTTTTT